TGTTGTAAACAGCCCTTCAGCAGCAGCTCTTTATTCAAATTCTGTCTTGGATGGAGGACTTGATTGACTCAGAGCAAACTGAGCCAAATTTAATTTTGGTTTACCCCTGTTTGTCAAAAAATTAAACACATCTGATGCTGGGTTGTCAGAGATAATGTCTAATATGTTTTACATGTTTTGCCAAATCTTGGAAATAGTGTCCATTTAAATTATTAAATATTTAAGAGTATACACAAAGACCAGAGCACCTCCTACCCACACTCCCAAACCTTACCAAAAAAGCAGGTAATACTGTATAAGTAGCAATAGTACGATGGTGAGGACAGGAGATCCCTGTATGTGAAATAAATTTCCAACTCAATTCCCATTTTTAAAGGTGCAGAAAATTGCCTCACCTGCCTGAGAGGCTCTCAACAGTTCCAGCAAATGTATTCCACTGAGGTATAGGAGAGCTCTTGAAATAGGAATCAGCACGGTACTGGACACACTTTAATCAGAACTAAGATGCAGAGAAGAAGAATGGAGAAGGGGGGCATCGAATGAATGCTAAAAGAGGGCAACGTATGGACAAGCACATGCACAAGCACAGTGATGTAAAATGAGAAGAGAGGATGAGGATGATAGATGAGGACAGTGTTGGGTAATGTATGTTTTCCCAGAGCAGAGTGCATCCATATGTGTCAAGGAGATATGCTATGCATACACGTGTTGACATTCTGATGTGCGAGAACGTGCATGTACTCAATACAGGCCCATACAGTCCCAAGCTATCTGTTCACCTGCACCCATTAAGAGAGGCTCTTTGGAGGCATTAGTTAAAGGCTAAGCCTAGATTAATGGGCCATGACAGAGAAACTCTGTGTGATTCAGCTGTAATTAAGCTTTCTGTCACTATCAATCACAGCTCTAGCTTTCTGTCTGATCAGTCCATTTTATATCAGCTAATAGTCCCTTGGCACTAAGATCAACATTTTAACCCCCAGGTAATCACCCTTTCTGTCTAATTGTCCATATATTGATTTTGATTTGATTTGATTTGATTTATTCTTTCAAACATGCAGAACAAATTACATCAACACACACATAATTACACAGATCCAACCAATGCTAATCCAGAATCAGTTTGTTTATACCTAGTACATGTTTGAATGGAGTAGGAAGAAGTCAGACTTATCCAGTCCTACCCCATAACATCATCTTATACAAAAAATGTCATGCATCATTGGCTGCAAGCAGTATCTCTACATAGGTGATTCTCTTCTTCACCAGACAATACACAGAAAATTTAAAACAGAGTGCTACCTTCATGCATTCTTGATTAAATCTCTTATTCTTGCATATATCTTGAATCACACATACATTTATATTTATATTTAAACTCCTCAATTCTAGTACTGTTTTTCATGTCCACACTTAAACCATTCCATAATTTGACCCCACTTATAGAAATACAAAATCTTTTTTTGGTTGTACATATAGCATGAACTTTTAGATTTAACTGACCCCTTAAATTATAATTATATCCCCCATCCCTTTCGTCAAATAACTTTTTGATTCCACCAGGTAATAAGTCGTTCCTGGCTTTATACATAAACACAGCAGTCTTATATCCCACTAAATCAAAGAATTTTAACAATTTAGACTGTATGAAAACTACCTTTGTGTGATCCCTATACCCCA